GAATATTGTTGTAAAACTTCATTTTCCATTGATAATTGTTTTACTGTGCGCATATTAGTAATAACTTCAACAGCAAGCTAAAGAAGACAAAACATACAATGAATATTTAATAATCATTTGATCAAATAATGTATAACAACATAATTCAACTACACATTAAAAGATTATGAATAACAAGATGATTTTACCGTGCTAGCTTGAGAGTAAATGAGATCAGATTGTGTTTTTAACCATGAACTCAACCGTATTTGTATAATAGTGACGATCATCATGATAACGAAAGGAATAGCTATGATTATTGTTAATTGCCAGTTGTAATAAAGGCCAAGTAAGAAGCCAAAAGTAGACATGGATAAAGCTTGACAGATAACACCTAATCTTGAACCAGCCATGTCTTCAATAGCAGCTGCATTAGAAGAGAGTTGATTACATATAGCACCAGAACTGTTTTCAGGTCGATCAAAATAAGCTACTTCTTGACGAAGAAAACATGCGAATGCTTTTGAACGAATGCGACTAACTAATTTCGCTCCTGCGACTCCAAAAGTCACAAACTGTAAACGAACATAAAAAAATTCATTTTTATAGTTTAGTAATAATATTGTTACTTGGAAAAAACGAAGAGTCATAAAAACAGCGCCGGTAATAATTAATAAACCACTTGTAATCAACACTCGACGACGTACATCAGTGTATTTACAATCATTAAATTCCTAAATAAAAGATAAATTCGATAGAAAAAGACACATCTTTTATCTTTTCCTGGAGTATTCATATGAATAAAATTACTTACATTAATTATTTTTGCGAATAGAATCGAGAACGCTGATCCACGTAATCCACCAAGTAAGCATGCCAAACAAGCAATCAGGATAAGCATCCATTCAGGACTATTCATCTTCAAGAGTCTAAAAAAAACAGATTTTCCTCTTGCTGACATCGAAGCTCTCTAAAAGTTTATACATTAATGATGATTTTTTAAAGTTATTAGATATCTATTTTTACCCGATTTATATCAATTGCTTCGCTCTCACTCAATAGACGAACGCGTTCCACTATTCGAAAAAACAAAACAGAATCAAGTTTATTAAATATAATAGTTATTAATATTAAAATAGTAACATACATAATAGTTCTTCATCTTCAGCTGCTGCTTTTTCCATTTGCATCAGACTCTCTTGTCTATGAAATGTATTTTCAGATTGTTGCATTTTGATCATTGTTTGATATCTACCTCCTTCTTTTGCCGATAATGTTTCATGTGTACCTTCTTCAATTACACTTCCTTTATCTAATACACAGATATAATCAGCATTTTGAATCGTAGTCAAACGATGGGCAATAACAATAGTTGTACGATCTATATATTAAGAATAATAATAACACAATCAATAATAATGAAATAATTCTTACTTTTACATGCTCGATCAAGTGCTTCTTGAACAATTCTTTCACTAACATTATCAAGTGCACTTGTTGCTTCATCTAACAAAAGAATGTTGGGTTGTTTGACAAGTGCACGAGCTAATGCAATACGTTGTTTTTCACCACCACTCAATTGTATACCACGTTCACCAACAAGTGTTTCATATTTCTGCAAACAAAAATATTAACATATACATATAGATAAAGACAAACCTTTGGTAATTTCATAATGAATTTATGTGCATTAGCTTGTTCTGCTGCTTGCTCAATCTCTGCACGTGTTGCATTCAATTTACCAAAACGAATATTTTCATAAATACTCATTCCAAATAGAATCTATTTCAATATATAAAAATTCGAGAAAGACTAAAAAAGGAAATGAAAGAAACCTACAGGTTCTTGACTGACAACTCCGATATTTTGACGAAATTGTTTGATTTTATGATTTGTAATTGATTGGCCATCAATCAAAATTCTACCTGAGGAAGGTTCATAATAACGAAGAAGAAGTGATACACATGTACTTTTTCCTATCAATCAATTTCAATATTAAAATGTTATGTTTGTTTTAGAAAAAAAGATTTACCACAACCACTTGAACCTACAAGGGCAGTTGTTTGTTTAGCACGAGCAATCAATTTAAGATTATTCAAAGCTGTTACATTTTCTCTAGATGGATAAGAAAAACTAACATTGTCAAATTCAATATCACCATTAATATTAGAAATAGATCTTTCATCAGATATGTTCTCTTCCAATATTTCTCTCTCGTTGATATTTGCATCATGTGCCTATATCATAAAAAATAAAATAGAAAATATAATTACCAAGATTTAGTCGCTGTAGTATCCAATCGATTTTACCTCATCAATAAGTCGAAATACGGATACAGCTGCACCTTGAGCTTCCGAAATTGATTGGAAGAAAGGACCAATTGTATTAAGATAAACTAACGCTTGTGCAAACATATTTACAACCTAAACGAAAGTTCATGTTCCAGTTACTTTATTGCATATTGATGTTATAGCTGACTTACAATAAGAATCTCACTAATAGTCACTGTATGACGAGTTTTATCAGACATAAGAATAGAACCAAAAGTGAAACCAATTGAATAAACTAGAAAGTTTATAAAAAGTAACCAACTATAATAAACACCAAATGCAGCATCTTTGCGAACAGTATACCATTCGTTTAATTTTAATTCCTTTTCATATCTAGATACAATAAATACAACAGCAAAATAATATACAATAATCTAGAAATGTTTGTTTATTTATTTACTGTTTTTGTTGCGATTTGCTTCCATTAAATGAAAGAACAGTTCTTAATGAACTAAATACTTCTTGAGCAATTTGTCCAGCTCTTGAGTATGTATTTAATTGTTCTTCTGTTTCTTTAGTAATGAGCTGTAATTATTGATAAAAATTTTAGTGAATTTAATAATAGTTTCTACCTTAGCAAACATCATTGAACTAACAACAACAATCGGGATTATACAAGACATAATTAAAGATAATTGCCAGTTGAAAATAAAAGATATAATTATACTAAAAATCATCATTTGAATATGTCCAATTACTAGTAAGAATTCAAAACCTATTCCATTTTTGATTTTTTCAATATTGCTGTACAGAAAATCGATCATATATAATTGTTTATTATAAACTTATTCTATTTGCTTACATCAAAAGCTTTGAATTGTATTGAGCAGTTTGGTTTGTATCCAAATATGTCATGTTCTAAAAAATGAAAGAGAAATAATACATTATCTTATCTTAAATCATAATGTGTATTAAAAATTATGAGTACATTATTATCATTTTTTTTAAACTTATTTTCTAATTGATTGATTCAAACTATTTCTAAATTGTATTAATAATAAAATTTTCCGTTGTTTTTCACGGTAATTTCACCTTAAATATAATCTTTGATATTCATTCGTATTATCATCTTCGTCTCTTATATATTTTGTATTGATTATTTTCGTAATGTAATTGATAATACTAACAATGTTTCTAGAATTATTAGTTTGTTGATTAGAGAAATATCTTGAAAAAAGAAAATGAGAAATCAAGACCAAAATGATCTACTTAATTTTGTTTTATGTTTGACACGGAGTAAGAGAAATAAATCGAATAAACTATATTTTAACTAATTTCATCGTTTATAATCACCTATTTTAGTAACTCATGAACGTACAACCGTCTTTGAAGAAATAAGAACACTTGTTTGAATATATAATACAAACATTTACACTAAATTTAGAACATCTAGTAAAAATTCGATACTACTTAATTTTGATTTATGATCACGAATTATAAAGTTTTTTGTGAGTGTAAAAAAATATTTTTACTTACACGTTGAATAAGTGATCGAAATAGTAAAACACTCATGCGAGATGTTTGTCGTTTCGTAGCAATTGTCCAACAGATATATTCAAGAGAAGCACATAGAAACACAAGAATACTAAAACCTACATTGACACAGACAAACAACCATTTGTTTGTTTTTTTAATTTAAATTATCATATTCAATAGACTTACCGAAGAACAAATAAACTAGATGCATAACATTTTGTCGAAATAAAGGCGTTAATGGAGCTAATGTCGATGAAATTGTTTTATTATGATAATGGCATAGTCTACGAATGAAAAATTTAAAAAGATTCAAAAGAAGAATATTTTTTAGTAAATTACTTATATAATCGATCAGAATTTAATGAATTAAGATCAATACCAAGAGGACATACACTATTATTAATAATTGTAGATGCGAAATTTTCATATTGATTATGACAATCCACAGAAAATGATGTAGTGGCAAATAATCCCGTGATTCGACCAAAAAGAATTACTTTTGCGAGAAGACAAGCTGCATGCCCCAATATGAGAGATAGAGCAATAATTAAAAGAAAAAGATCAATACGATCAGCAAATCGAAACTATAATTAAATGAAATGAATTAATTAATTCATATATATATATTAAAAAGAAAAACAACATGTTTTTAACTTAGTATTTTTACTACTTTCTCTTATGATATTTTATGTTTGAATATAATACTTACTAATCGTAAAACACCGACTGGAATATCTTTAGTAGTTTGGTTGATCTCATCGTTTAACTTTTTATTCCTAGCATCAGTCTTTTGCTGATTGAAATATTGACGCCACTCAGAAAAACTATAAATAATAATGAGTTTTTATGTGTTGATCAATATTATATCTTTTTTTGTAAATTATACCTTTTGTTTTCATTGTGGCTATCATTGTCATTAAGTAATTTGTTACGTTTCTTTAATAGTGGCTCTTTATCGCTCATATTCTTCTTTTTCTTTTCAAATATATATTATTATGAAGCATGACGTTTATTATAGATCTATATGTATTATTGTGAAGAATGATTCAACATTCTTTGCTTCATTGATTTTGCGTCCTTCATGTATTTCATCTGTTGTCTTTCACATAGTCAAACCACGTAGGCAGCATCGTGTTAGAGGCAAAAATTATCACATAGTCAAACCACGTAGGCAGCATCGTGTTAGAGGCAAAAATTATCACATAGTTTTTTCATAGATGTAAATATAATTAATACTTTCTTCTTATCTATCGCGTATGAATAATATGTTATTATTAAAGACTCGGAGATAGTAAAATCGATGATTGGTATAGATAAAAAAAATAAAAAATAAATTGTCGATTGCTTTTAATCTCTATGCAACCATGAAGTTTTAAGTTAGAGTTTTATTAATAATAAAAAAATATAAAAGAGGTATGAAAAGTCAAAATCATGAATTTAGTTTTATAATAAAATTGATATATATATACATATTTATAATAGATACAATTTAGTTTTTAGAATATCATTCATTTTCAAATAGTTACATAATACTGATGATATTTTCTATAAGACTAAATATAATATTTATTGATGATATGATTGTACTTATTTAAAAATTAATATTAACATTTATGTTAAATAAATGCAATTATAGATTGAATGTAAGTCATGAATCTTTCAAATAATAAATTTCTTAAACATATTACATAAAAGATTTCATAATCTCGGGATAAAACAATCTTTATTATGATTTATGAGAATTTGTTTTTATGTAAATTTAAATTTCGAATTGCTTGTGTATAGTATAAATATAATCTAATATTGTTTTTGTTCAACTAATATTGTTTTAGAAAACACAAATAGGTTTTATATTGTAGAAAAGTTAATTTTGTTTTTAACAAAGAAAGAGTTGCCAGTGGCGGATTTAGGAGGAGGGGTAATGGGGGCGATCGCCCCGCTTTGGAAATTTTTTTTGCTTTTTACAGCAAAAATGAACGAAAAATAGGTTCACACTACTTCGATTGGGCCCAAAAATAGTTTTTAGCCGAAATCGCCCCCCTCCCACCAACTGAGGTATTGCCCCTCCCTTCCAAAATCCTAGATCCGCCACTGAGAGTTGCTATTGGAATATGACTTGATAGTGATATTCTATGAAGATAGATCAAATTCAAAATGTATGTTTATCAAAGATTTTGAGGGTGGGTGCAGGTATGGGTGTTTGGATATGGGCATAGGCAACATATTTATATCCCATTTACACCCACACCTACACCCTTCATTAAAAACAAAACATATTTGAATTTTTCTAGCTTCGGATCATGTTCGTGCAAATAATTAGAAATTTTATTATGTATCTATTAAAAAAAACGAACATCAACTAAATAACAAGGCAAAGATGATATGAATACGAATGATAAACAAAATATAAAATTACTTTCAACAGTTTCACAAATGAAAAATTATCAAATAAATAATAAAAGACCCGATGATTATTTCCAAGAACGTGAAATATATGACAAAACTTTGTCGACAAAATGGAACACAATTAATATATTTCGAAATAGTCTATGTAGGATTTAATTTTATTTAGTTAAGTCGAAAACGCCAAGCAAAATTATTTTGTTGTTATCGTCATAATAATCATCCATCTATTATTTGAAGTCCTGTTAAAGAAGAACAATTATTAGATCAACCAGCTATTTTTCTTTTTCATGATATTGTTAGTAATTGAGATGTTGAAGAAATCAAATCATTTGCTTCACCAAGAGTATGTAATATATACATAGAAATAAGAAATATTAGAAAGCTAATCAAAATAAAATTCTCACTGTACAATTACAACGTGTTGTTGTTCACGATTTTATGATCGATACTTTTGAACCAGCTGATTATAGAATGAGTAAAAGGTACTAAAAAATAAAAGATCTATTTATTGTTAGTTGTTTACACATGTAGTAAATTGCACATTGTTCTGTTCGGATGATTCTATTGGTAGTTGAATATATAGTAAAATGTTGTTTCTATCTTATAAAATGTAATATCTAGAGATATTCGAGGATTTTATACAGACTATTAAGTAAATGAGGATATGATTTTAACGTTTTTCTTCAAAAATAATCTTCCAATATGATTAATGATGATTTTAAATAAATAAAATCGAATGTCATTTCCTAAATTATTCATACTTGAATTTATTTCTTTATTATACTTGTTAAATGCAGATTATATATACAAAACTTCATTGAATACGAAGGGTTTATGAGAAAACGTTTCGTGCAAAAAATACAAATGGGAGGAATATAAATAAAAACTAGTATTAGTTGATTCAATCAATCTTTAAACATTTTTTCTAGATTTAAAACATAAATATCATAGACAAAATTATTTTGATCAAAACTAGAGTCTGTCAGACTGAAATATGTATATTTTATATGATGTTAAAAATAATTTTTCTTTATTTTCATCACTATTTCATGAATATTTTATTTAAGATAATTATTTTCAGATTATGATTGTAGCTAAGCAGAGTGGTAATACAAAATCCTAAAACATTAAAAGATAAACATATCAGTTATAGAGTGAGTAAAAGATACGAACTAGGAAAAAACAAATATATAATTTTTATATTTAATCTCAATGCATGTCAATCAAATATTGTTTTTGTTCCTCAAATTCTAAAGCTTTTCGTCATTATTAACTGATCATAGTTATATTTATTATTTTGTATGTTATGTCTTTACCTTCAAATATAGATTTAGTTTGAAGTTTAATTTTGATTTTATTTTTAGTGGTTGGTTGAGATATGAAGATTCATCAGTTATTTCTCGTTTATCTCGATTAATTGAAGGTGTAACAAACATGAGTATGATAACAGCTGAAGATCTTCACGTATGTGAATAATTAGAGAATAGCAAAATAAAATTAAGAATAAAAGAATTCGATTGCAAATTATGGTGTTGGTGATCATTATGAATCATATTTTGATTTTGTACGAGTAAGTTATGAATATTTATTTGTCAAACTTAGAAATGAGAGAAAGATGCTTTTTCAGGTCTTGGTGCTCATGAGTTGAAATTCTCTATGAGAAATCATATCATAATTTTTATTTTCTAGCAAAATCGTATTACTACATGGTTAACTTATGTAAGTTAATTGGATATTATTAGAAATTTGTTATAATAATATAATAAATGTTCCTAGTTCAGTGATGTTAAACAAAGTGATGCAACAGTTTTTCATGTAGTTGGCGATCATTTGAAATCAAAAAAGGAAGTGCTGCATTTTGGTATAATATTTATGCATCGAATGAAAGTTAGATAAATACTTCGTTTTATTTTTTCTGGTATATATAATAAATTATTTCTATCTTTTCAGAAGATTACAATACTCGTCATACAGATATTTTTTTAGTTTAATTAAATGGATTGATGAACGTGGTAAAGAATTTCGTCGTTCATGTGTTATTGGATTCAATGGCATGAGTGAATCATCTATTGGTACAAAATTGACATAAGGATATTGGAAATCTCGGTGTATATTTAAGTTAAAATCAAATCGATAATATCAGCAATCCACATGTTAAAGGGAAAAGTCAAGTTGAGTAATTATGTTTTTTATCATAGAGAATATTAGGATTTCGTTTCCGTAGTGTGAAGCATTTATAAAGGTAGAACAAGAAATGTTTATTTCTATTAATTTTTGTTTATTTAAATGAATGAATTTTTTACTTTTATCAATTGACATAGATTCTTTTCTATTAGATATATGCATAAATATTTATAGAACTATTATCCATCGAGCAAACTTATATATTAGTAGTAAGATTAATGTCATTATGATCATTAACAATTGATCTTATTAATCGAAAAAAATGTATGATATTCTAAATAAGCTGCAAGAATACGACAATGAAATGAAAATAGAGAATATGTATATTATATGATTTTATAGAGCAAAATCAAACATGTATGAAAAAAATTTCTAATATAAATTATGAGAATATATTTTATAAAAATATATTCATTAGTTTTATATCATTTTTAATCTCGATTTGATTGTATTGTACAAAGCCAATAGTTAGAATATAGACATCTTTTCATCGTGTATATAAAGAGATATATAGTTTGAATCAATTAAATTTCAAACAATTCTTTTTCTTTTTTCATCATCATTATCATTACCAAATTGAAAACAATATAATTTGTTAAGATTTTCAATTGTTTAATGTTAAAAGATTTGTAAATAAAGCAGAAAAATGGAAATTGTCGATTGTATATCAGACACATCTTCTTATATTTTTTCAATGTAAATTACACTGGAAAAAAATATCTCAAATAGAATTTTATCAATTGAAAAACATAGGTGATCGTTTTCAACTATGATTATCTTTACAATAATAATAGTTTAGTAGTAGAGAAAAGATAGTAGATAAAATATATTAGATAATTTCATGCGATAATCATTGAGGTTCAAAAGTCTTTAATCACATAATGTTCTATGTGAAAATATTTTAGTAAAATAAACATATTAAGAAATCTTCTTAATACAAATAAACTTATTGTTTTATGCAAACGACTTTTTCTTAACAACAATGACGTCCACACAATTATTTTTAATCAAGACTAGAAACATGCTTTCTCTTATGAATAGTTGAAACTAATCTGTTCCATATTGTTAAAATCTTTTTTTATTAATTCTTGAAAATATAGCGAAACAACTATAATGATATTGTTTTTTTGTGAAATAATTAAAATCATATGATATTATTTTGATGGAAACCTGTTCGAGTAATCATTTAAATAATTTTATTTCCTCAATAATAACATTTTTGAAGGATGTCAATCTGACAAGCTTCTCTCACAATATGAAGATCAATCCACAGTGGATTGTCGTGTGAATATATGACAGAACTTTGACAAAATGTAATTTAGTTATCATAACTATGATGTTTTTTTCATTCTACCTACATTCAAATATGATATTTTCATTGTAATCGCGCATGACTGCGTCGCAATTACGTGTGTATGAGAGTTCGATCGTATTAATCCTTATTCAACATTCGCGTTATCGGACACGAACATGTATTTATGTTCGTGATGAACAAACGTCGCTTTTTCATCTCCATAGAACACGTAGAAACGGTTGAGTGATTTTGTTTTAAAAATTGTTTAATTTTTTTCTCTATTATTTTATTTCTTTGAAAAAATCAATTGAATTTTACTGTAGAAAATTTTATTCAATGTTATGTTAAACGTAAAAGAAGAAAAGGTCTTAGAAAAAGTTTTTCAACAATATTTTCTTTATATTTTGAGGGAAAAATTGAAATAATTTAGTTATATTCTTTATGATTATTTGAATTCTACAAGTAATGAACAAAATATATATTAGAAATATCTGCAATGATTCATGTAAGTTTTTAATAAATTGTTTCTTTCTTCAATTTGAAAATTTTCATTGAAAATATTTTTCTAACAATATTCGATTTTTTTAATTTGAAAATTCATGAAAAAAACTGAACTAAATGAATAGATTTTCTTGTTTTCATTAGATTAGTATTAATCCATTTTCTCTTGTATTTTAAATAGGATTGAGAATTAATTCATTATTTTATCATATTTTAACCAAAATATTATATTATCTAAGAATTCAAAATAAAAATTTTTACAACATTTGTTCGAACATTTTCAATTGAATTTCATTCGATCGAGAAAACACTTTTTTCTTTACGATTACATTGAGAAAAATGGTGCTATATTCTATAAAATATCATCTAAAACAATGAAATTTATAGTGATGGTTCTTATTGACATAATTATTAATTTTGAAAAGAAAAAATCAAACAATTTGTTTTTATTACTCGTAATTTCAACTTATCTTTTCTTTTTCTTATTTTTAGAATAGAAATTTAATGTAATTATGCTATATTACGATATTGTTTTATTATAAAATTTCTTTAGATTTAAACCTATATTCAGTTGTATCTTATAAAATATGCCTTGAATTTCATTTCATCGATGCATATCACTGGTCTACAAAACGATACTTATATTTGGCTGTGTTGTACATCTTATATTAATTGTATGGAGTAACGACTTTCATATAAGATAATACAAACGTTATAGTAATTATTAGTTTAAACTTACAACAAAATTAAGTGAGAATTGTTTGAATAAATTTCCTATTTTTCGAAATAAATTCGGATAATCGCTTTCGTAATAATGAGTCAATCATATCAAATCACTTAAGTATACTAGAAACGATAGATTTTTATACTATTTATCAACTATTTACTAATAAAAAGTTTTGTACATAATCATAATTGATGATACAGTATTATAGATGATTTTATAGTTTGTTATATAAAATATTCATTAGCAAATGTTCAAACTTAGATTAGCTTTGTTAAATACAGAAAAAAAATACCATTATCATAGTAAAAATATTGAATAATATGTATAGTCATTCAACTAAACAATTTCTAGTAGAGTATAAATACAGATACGATGCCTTAAGTAGTAAAGTATCTTGACTTGAATAGTGAGATTACGAAAGAATTTTTTATACAAATAGATATTGAATAAAATTCTATGAAAATATTGTCTATTTGTTTTATTCAAATAAGTTTTCATCTGTGACAAGAAAATTAAAAAATCATTTCTATTTTTCGATTCTGAAATATCTGTTAGTAAATGTTCTCATTTGTTTCTTATTTAAGATTGTTTCTATTTTATATATTTTTTGTTTAATTATAGCCCAATAAAAGATATTAAACATCAACTTGGATCATTTGATATTGGATTTATCGATAAATATTAATCAGGTGCTTGTGGATTCACTGATGCATGTAAAAAAAATTTGAAAATATTAAATCGAACAAATGAAATGTTTACTAGTTTTACTGAACGAAAACAATTTTATGAAGTTTATAAGAATGCTTCGGAAGCGAGTCAAGTCAATATATTTATGTGAATTATTTATGGCATTTAATCGAACAATGATTATTATTGCTTTAACTGAATATAAATTAGAAAGATATGGAAAAGAAGACTGAGAAAATCTGAACAATAATCTTCGTATTATATCTTCAAATCCTCGATAAATATTAATACAATATCTAATCAATATGTTTTACAGAGTATAGAATAAAGCTCCTTGCATAATATTAGATATATTTTCTATATGTTGGTATTTATTCAGAAAAGAATATCTTGTGGAATGAAAATGAGTGTATATGATAGAAAATTGCCATATTTCTATTCAAGTTAAAATAACTACAGAAAATCTTACTTTCATTTAAAATTATTAACAAATATCAAGATTGTATTTGTATTCTTCTCTTTTTCATATGTACAGGTGAGATAACAGCCATCATAGTAATCAAAAATATATATAATTTAAACCTTGAAGCAAATCGCTAGACGCACAAGTATTTCTTAGATTCTTTCGTATGTACAGGTGAGATAACAGCCATCACGGTAATCAAAAAACAAAATATATATAATTTAAACCTTGAAGCAAATCGCTAGACACACAAGTAATTGAAAATAATGATGTAGGCCTTCTGTTTTAAGTTGATATGAAAAATATGTATTTCTTATATTCTTTCGTATGTACAGGTGAGATAACAGCCATCATAGTAATCAAAAAATATATATAATTTAAACCTTGAAGCAAATCCATAATTATATTGATGTTTTGCAATATAACAGGAGCCTTCGTTCTAACCTATATATGAAAAACAACTCGCACTTATTTTAACCTATATATGAAAAACAACTCGTATTCATTTTCCGTTTTTAATATGTGCAGGTAAGATAGCGGCTCTCGCTCTAAGCAACACAGTAAGCAATATCGATCCACTGTAAATTTCAACTGCATTCAACTCTATGGAAGAAAAAAAGGAAGTCTACTGATATATATTGGTAAGTCATAAATAAGAAGAAAAAAAACTTTTTTATTTATTATATTTTAGGTTTACATGATTCTAACAAATTTGCTAAGGGATATTTCATAGAAATTTTTTTTATTAGCTTCGAATAATTTAAAAAAGTTTTGTTAGTATTGTAAAAGATATCAAAAATTTTATTTTACCTATTTAGGTTCACATAATTCGAATATAGAATGGTAAGTTATATATAAGGAAAAGAACAATAACTTTTATTTATTATATTTTATATTCACATGATGCAAATAGAACTCCTGTGTGATATATACGAAGAAAAAATTATAATCTTTTCCATTTAGGTTTACATGATATTAAGAAAAGTGATAAGTGGAATTTTTGAAATAAAAGATTTTATTATTTTTATTTAGGTTTAAATGAGTTTATAAAAATTGGTACGACATATATGGGAAAGAATACAGTATTGTTTTTATATTTATAGAAATGTTAAAGAAAATATTTGTGTTGTTATTTTAATAAATGAAATAAATAATAAAATGTCTTGATTATCCATCAATAATATAACATTAATCTATTGGCAACACTGGAATACTGAAAATACTTGTACAGAATAGTCTTTATCATTTAAAAGGTTTAATAAACAATTGTTATTTTAATTATATGAAAAATGTTTTTTCTTTTAATTTAAAAAAAAATAGATGTTCAATGGTTGAATAGAAATACAAGTGAAAATACAGCTCATCTTCTTGCATCAATGCATCTTCCAATTCGACAAACAAATCAAAATCATACACAGAAATTATCGCATAAAAAAAATTACAATAAGAAACAACTGTACTTGAAGAAAAACTTAAAGTATAAAATTTTCTTATTAAAATTTCGATATAAAATCTAAAATCTTTTTTTTAGAGTATTGTACGTATGTTGTTGGTTGAAATAGGTCAAGATATGCTTACAGCTCAACAACAAATTTGTGCTCATAAATCTCAAACACGACGAACAGTTCAATTAAAAAGATTATTACTTGAATATGAATTAACGCAACAAAAAAATCTTTATAAATGTTTAGCTATTGCAACGGATCCAAGAAACTTAATTGAACAACTTGACGTGGAATCATTCCAAGAATTAAGATTAGTTATTAAAGCAGAAAAATCAGTTAAAGATACATTAGCTGCTATTATTATGATTTGTAAGTTTAGACTATTTTTTTTATTTTTCTATTTCTGTAAAGTTTCATATTAATAATAGTAAAATCTCCAGCAGCTGATATAACATGACAAAATGATGCGAAAAGACAATTAACTAATCTTAGTAGATTTATTGAAGAAACTCAATTATTTGATAACATTAATTTAACAGAAGAACATATTAATTTAATTAGCACAAATATTGATAAAGTTCAACTTGAAAATACATCCCTTTATAAATGGGTTAAACGAGTTCCACATTTAGTTATTTGAAAAAAGTTATTATTATTTTATATAAATATCATACAATTTTACGTAAAAATGTTCGACCAATATACATTAGAAATATAAAAAAATTGAAGAAGATGTACTCATCTATTACTTGGTATTCGTCAATTCAATGATCAAACAAATGCAACATAGAAAAGTCTTATTAATATTAATTTACCATAACATGTTTTCTTAAAAGATCATAAAATTCAAGATGCAATTCTTTTGTTGGCTGTTGCTTATTTCGAACTTGCAACATCTGCTTGTCTACAATTGCTTTCCCCAAAAGAAGATGATGAATAACAACCAACAGTTATTTTTGAAGATGTTAAATTTGTTAAAGTACTTATTCTGAATGAACATAAATTAGTTGAAGTATTTATACAAATAATTATGCCAATGCGTAAATGGTATATTATATTTTGTAATCAAGATAATCTTAATAAATATTCATTAAATGAATTTACTTCACATGTTCAAGGTAAAATTGAAATAGATTTTAAAGAATAAAAATCATTAACAATACCTAATACATGAACAACACAAGATATACCAAGTGCTTATGCACATCTTTCAACATGAAATTATCAATATGAATCTAGTTTTGAAAAAATAAAAACATTACGTGGTACTTCAACTACAATTATATCTCAACTATCAAATGATAATAATAATTGTTCATCTTATTATTTACTTCATCTATATCTAGTTCTATTACCAGGTATTGAAACAACATTTCTACCAGTACGTATTCAAAAATTTATTTATTCAAGTAAAACAAAAACAAAGATGAATCAATCAACAAATATTGAAGTACGTGGAAATTATCATGATAATATATGTGGCATAGGTCAAGAAGAAATATATAATCTTGATTTATGGAGATATCTAATGGATAATAAAATCGATGAACCAATGTTTACATTTGAAAGTATTATTATTCAACAAGTTCAAGGTGTACATTCTGGTCGATGGTCAACGGAAAAAACAATTTATGATAAATTAAATCTAACAACTGATTTACCTAATATTGATCATAAAACATATTTAAATACAATCCTAAAAGAATATGGACTGATTCACCAACAATAAATGATATATCACATTTACTTCCATCACCTAATCAAATTCTTAATAATCAACTTAATTCTATTAGTAACCAAGATTTAACTGAATCGATCGAACCATTTAATGAATTAGCTGCTTATTATGCTCAAATGGCAATTAAAGATCTTGATTTAAATCAACAACATCATCCATTATTAAATGCATGTGGTTCTCTTGCTTCAACTTTACATGAATAAGTAACACGACATTCAACACATCTTCGTCTTATTCAATTAATTGAACGTTTTCCTCGTTTAAAACCATTTTTAATCATATTAAATAAATATGGTTTACATGTAAAAGATATTCTTAGTGGAGACAAAAATGGTTTAGATATATTTTTTGGTGATGATGAAATTGGACAAACTTTTCAACAAATTAAAACTCTTCTAAGTGCAACTAAAACACAACACATTTTTCATTCGATTTGTCAATATTTACAATTACAATATGAACAACAACAACAAACTAAAGATAATTCATTTGAGAATTATCGATTACGTATATTTTGGTTAACTGATAGTGATTGTTCAGATGTTTTACCTATTCTTGATCTTCTTCTTAATTTATCACAACAAACAGGTTTATTAATTGATTTACATTATGCAGATTCTGATCCAGTACAACTTGCAAATGCTCAACTAACATTTAATACACATCTAACTAATCAAACAAAAAATTTATCTATTATTTATGATGAAACAATTGATTTATATGATAGTAAAACACTTGAAAAAATACCATTCAAATCATTTGATATTATATTTTCTTCCAATCAACTTCAAGGAAATCAAGATTTAACAAATTCTTTAATTGCTCTTCGTCGTTTACTTGTTCCTAATGGTCTTCTTTTATTACTTGAACTAGTTCATGTTCCTCTTTATTTTGATCTTATTTTTTGTTTCTTTGATCAATGGTGGTCATCTGCCAATGATAATAATCGTGCATTAAAGAATATTCAACAATGGACAACATTATTAGAACAAATCGAAGGATTTCATATTATTGAATCAACAACAAATCAAAATGAAAGCACATTAATTATTAGTCAAAAAACAATATCTAAGGAAATATTACAGACGCTTGACGAAAGAAAAAATCAATCATGGTTAATATTTACTAAAGATGATCAAAATAATAAAAATAGTTTTAGTCATATTCTATCAACATTATTACCATGTTCAAATATTAGAATTTTTGATATTCGTAATTCAACTTTAGATATGATTTGTTCTGTAATACCAGTTCTATTAACTACTTATAAACAAGTATCTATTATTTTTGCATGGCAACTTGATCAAGTATTATTGAATGAAAATAATGATGACGATTTAGCATTGAAACAAAATGAAGAACTTATATGTGGAACATTATCATGAATTCTTCAAACAATTCAAAAATCATCACCATATTTTTATCCATTTGTATATGTTCTGACAGATCATGCTCAATTTAATAATGATTCGAATCTTGATATAATTCCATCACCATTTATTGGTCTTGAACGAACTTTACTAACTGAATATGAACGAAATCGATTAAAATTTATTGATCTTCAAACATCATTAAATAATAATAATTAATCAATATTTCTTCATACTTTAATAGAATATATGATTAATTTAAGATATTCAACTGATACTTGTCAAGTTGTTCTTCGTCTTAATGATGCAAATCATAATCAAGTTCAACATTTGACGTGGCATTATGAAATGTTACAAAATAATGATGATGATAAAGAAGAGAAATCTAAATACGAACAAATATCTATTATACCTAAACGAGATGTTGATCAAAAACCATTTCGTATTTGTGTATCACCATCTCGTTTTCTTTCTCCATTAACATGGATTGAATAAAATAGAGAAGAAGAATTATTACCATCAGATATGGTAGAGTGATTTCGCTGGATTTGTTGATCATATATTACCTCTTACTCATCTTATATGTTGGAAGAAGCAATTGATTTATTTATTCAACGTAAATTACATGCTGTTGAACCAACAGTTACTTATGAACCATGCCAAATAATAGAAGCATTACTACGATATAATAGTGGTCAAGTTATGGATAAAACTGTTTTTCGTATAACTTCATCTGATCAACCATCGAATATCAACATAAACCAATCGAATAATTTATTAGAAGGTAATCAGATTTCATATTTTCTTTTCTTTTCTTTTTTTTTCTTTTCTTTTTTTTCTTTTCGTTCTGTTTCGACTATTGATAACCATTGTAATGTACGAGAACATATTTCGATCGCATCGTAATATTCATTTATAGGTCTACTCGAAAGAAAAGAAAAAAAAAGATATTCGTTCATATTTTTCACCTTTTCTCATAATTTTGCGGGTGGGTGTGGATGTATGTCTCTTCTTCTTTTTCATTCATATCCACACCCACCATCGATCCTAATAACGCTGATCGATACTTCTTTGTGTTATAGTCATATGTGATCAACTAGTGTAAGAAAGAGATAAACTAAAAGAATACAGATATAAATTAGAAATAAAAACACTTCGTTAATCTTACTACTAGATCTAAACTTAAATTCAAACCTAAACTGCCAACTCGTTGGCAGTTTGAATTTGAGTTTGGTGCATGTCTATCCAGAGCTACATCTTCACCTACTCTTTTATGTGAACCCACTGTGCAGTAATAGGATATATGTATCATCTATGTGTATTTGTTTCTCTCTTCTTCATTTTTGCCTTCTCTTTTAATAATTTCGATAGGAATAAAAGAAATAAATTGAACGAGTATTCATTTAAGTAAATGCTAGAAATAATGATCGTCGTTATTTAAACATAGAATAGTATTCGTTTACTTGATTTATCAAAATATTTTCTATATTTCTCTTGTTTATTTAAGAAAATAGATGAAATTGAATATAAGGTTCATGTAATGATTGATTGTATCAATAGAAATATTTCATCTATCACTATCATCATGGATTTTAATGTTATGAACTCGATATTAAAAGAAAATTGTTATTTTCTAACAAATTCTTCAGTATTTCGGTATGAAACTAAATAGAAAGAGCACAAATCAATGATAAGAATGATCAATATATTTGATATAAGTTCGAAGAATATTTTCAAATAAAAGAAAAGCACAATAAAAATATTAAATATTAGATGAAGAGTTTTTTCTATTGTTCTTCTTCGACATTTACATTTGAATAGAATTTCTATTGATAACTATACTGAAAATATGAAAATAGTTATTAGTTCTTTTTATATAGTTATTTCTGAATAGATTTATCTAGGATAAGAAAGAAAAACAACATTTCTTCACAAATATCGTTATTTGGACAACGAAGAAAAGTATGGGAGATAGAATTAACTATTGTCGAAGTAATTAATGAATATGAGAATAAATGATGCACAAAATAAATACACATGTAGCAGATGTTGACTATTTCTCTATAGTTTTTAAAGATTTCTATAGTTTTTAGATAGGATTTTCATTGAAAAGAATCAGTTTATATTCTTTTCTTTTAACATAAAATAATTCCTTTGAAATTTTGTAAATAAATTAAAGAAAATAATATTAGTAAGAAAGTTAAATGAATTGAATAATTATTTTAGAATAAGAAAGCATTTTTATGTAACAACTCCTAGTTACAAATCTCTACCTAAATCTATATATGGATGAATTACAATATTCTTATATTGTTTTATAAAAAACTTTTCATCTCATTATTAATATCATTGTACAATATTATACTAAAGAAAAATATATTTCATTTTTTCTAATTATTACTCTTGAATTATTTAACATATGAGATATTTTTTTAAGAATCCAGTTTAAGAATTTGAGACTAAACTATATTGATTAGTACACAACACATCTAATGTTGATTTTTTTCACCAGACTTTAATCTTTAATCTTGTTTGTGGAATAAGAAATTTCTTTGTCAATTGCAATTGACATTAGTTGTAAGAAAGCTATTCCATGTACTCAAAATCAGTAATTAATCGCTAATGATTTTCTTCCTCATTTTTAACGATAAATTATGAGATTATTTACACGTGAACTTTGGTTTTACTGTTAGATTTAGAAGATCTTATTACTGATTTAATTAGTGGATCAATTTTTTGTTATAAAATTGAACGTTCACATTAATTTATACATAGATATTATGTAACTAAATAGATAAATAAGAACTCTACATACATTTTGATATAGTGAGGAAAAAATAAATTCAAAAAAAAGATTAGAAAAATTCTTTAAAATCGATAAGTTGTTTTTGTTTATTTGTGAAAGGCTTCTGTGTATATTTATCATCGCTCATCAATTAAAAATCTCGAAAAAAGAATGAAAAAAACATAAATGAGAAGTAGAGGTATAGATTAATACAGAATCATCTAAAATAAACTACACCTTATCGTAAAGAAACGTTTTGAAACGAATGATTGTGATGACGACGCTTATAGTACGATCATTTTTGAAATTATTTAATATCATTCATGTCATAGTAGTCATATTCATGACAAAACTAATCTTTTTTTTGTTTTAAATATTTGTAATTATATATCACTATTCACTTTATAAATTCTTAAATAATTAGTTTGTAGTTCATAAATGATTACTAAAATCAATGATTAAACACGTTGTCATGACATAAGAATGTGATTATGAAACTTGTCGGGCATTTTTATAGGATTTATTTTGTAATGGTGATAATATGAGCAATAGTTGAATAGAATGATTAATATTTCAGTTCAATCTGTAATAACTTAAGAGAATTAGAAATTAATAAATCTTGCCCTATATTTCGTGTAACACAAATAGTTTTTTTTTATTTACGTACAAATTTGACTAACTTTTTCATTATCTTTTATGACTTGAATCATTATATGTCGAGGTTATTTTTCATTTGACAGAACAGGAATTGTACGATTGACTGTAGATATAATCTATGAACAAATAATTAATTAGAAATATTTTCTTAAAGTATATATTAAAAATAAATGATCATTTCTTTATCTTTGATTTCTATACAATATGAAAAGGTCGACATATGTGTGCGGATAAAGTCAATATTGATTTCATTTCGAAAGAGAAAAAGAAATTCTACAGATGATGCGCTTGAAACGAAAAAGATGGATCTGATACTAGAATAGATCCTTTCAAATCCATTATATTTACATTTATGTTTACTCATACTCTTCGTTTTTTAGCATAGAAGTTAGATGAACAAATGTAAGGTAGTAGCGTTTAAAATAAAAATTTGAAATGAATAAACATCATTATCTCTTTTTATTTTGATGATCATTTAACAGTTATTAGAACATAATGCTAAGATTTGTTGACTATATCATTTCTTAAATCAGCTTTAACTCAATAAACAACTCCCACTTATTATTTTCTCTTTCTCGAAGTTAAAGAAATTTTAAATGAAGTTATAGGATTACAGACCATTTGTAATAGATCGGTGAATCGCAGATGAGTTTGATCATAAAGAAGGGTAATGTCGCTGGACAAGTCATTAGAAATCCGAATAGTTAAAAAATCTAAGATAATTAATTCTATATTGAAAAATAAATGAACAAAGATTTTGATTGTATTTCAAAATTGAATTGATTTTTCTTCCATAAATAAAATCGATAAAAAAAGAATTATTTTTCTCTTTTCTTTTCATGACATATCTATCCGTCTTAGTTCATTGGTTCTCTTAACCACATGTGATTTTTAGTAAGAGCGATCAACGACGATATTAAAGAATAAACGTAGAGAAGAGTGGCTTTATAGATGATTGTTTGACAGAACAAGAAAAAAATGATACTTGTAAGCGTTAGAAATATTTTTTTGTCGTTACGAACAAAATAACAAACCGCAACCACGTGGAAAAAAACGTGTCTTTTAGAATATTTTCAAATATCGAAATAAAACGACTTTTACGTAGGAAACCATCTATTAAACTTATCTTAAGATTTCGATTAACAACTGTAAAGAATGAAATATTTCTATTGTGATATTTGAGAAACGAAGAATAGAGTTAAGTTTATTCTGATAAAGAAAACATTTCATTTCAAATTGATATTAGTAGAAAATAAGATAAAGAAGAATTTGATTATTTTAATTTTATCGTATTTTTTAAATGACTATTTAAACATTTCGAGAGACTCAAATTCTTTTTATTTAACATTTTACTTTATATTTGGAGATTGTTAGAATAAAATACTTTAATTATTCTCATTTAAAAAATGTAAATATTCAGTTTTAAGATGATCGAACTAGAAAAAACATTGAGTATAATAACAAATGCGACGATTACGACATTAATAACTTCATGGTCAGCTAGTTGTTCTTCTATATTCTTTATAATAATCATTTTTGTCATGATAATATTACAATGTAGATTTATTTTTCAGTAATTCGTATCAAATAGAAGTTTACTACTGGTCACATTTCTAACTACGAACACTTGTTTTTCTTGAACAGTGAGCATTTCTTTTCAATTCTTCTGTTATTATAACTCGAGAATATAAGGATAGGGCAAAGAATAAAAAGAAGTTCATCCTTCTACCATATATTATGATCGATACCTTGATTACCTTTTTGTCAATCACTCCTGCACCATATCTGATAAGATCCAATATTTAATAGAAGCTTATAAGAAATCGGCAAATAGGACTATTAATAGATTTAATAGTAAAATCATAATTGTTCCTCATTTATTTAATATCAATCTAATCGCTACTATATTACAATATGGAGATTCAATTGCACTCTACTATTGGATCCTACCGAATCTGACTGTAGACTTTTAATACTAAAGATTTCAATGTAAATCCGTCTTCGAGCCTTCTAATAAACAGGATCTCTATTATCGAGGTCATCCTCGATTGTTCTATCATCTTTCATATATGGTGTGATATTTTTTTACTAGTCCTTTTCGATATATTTGTATATGACATGATCACATGACCATATACATATATATATAAACCATACGTTGATGAAATATATCATTTTTTTTTCTTTTCTTTTCTCCTTGTTCTTCTCTTCTGTCGTTCTCTCTCAAATAAACTAGATATAGTGCTTACAATCTCATTATCGAGTTTAATTGTTTGAGAAAATGGATAATGTTAAGATAGGAAGTTGAGTTAGAAACACTAAAGATACAAGATTAGGACAACAGAAATAAGAAGGCTGAGAATTATAGTATAAGTGAGTAAAAAATATTTTCACATTCAATTTTAATCAACATTTATTAAATCCGTTAATTCCCATAAGTCATACTCATCGCTCTTTATACGTCTACGTAAATATGCAGAATAAATCTTCTTGCTTGTCATATATTAACAACAAGGTATAAATCTGTATTTTACTATTATTATGGTTCATACTTTTCTGAGATTGGTAACAATTTGATCCTAATAGTATTTCATCAGCAACTTTGTATATATAATTTAATTTAAATTCCTTATTTTTGTTTTTTTGTCTACCAGTTATAGATATTGAAGAAACATCATCATACTGTAATGACACATTTCTGAATATCTCGATAATCTCAGAATAATAATATAACAACAATTCGAAAATAGAGTAATGAGCATCTTGAAAATCAGAAATATAAAGATATAATTGTTAAAATATTCTGGCACAATACGTGAATAGTAATATACTAATCTCTCACATGAGTACACATGACAATATAATAGTTCAAATTGAATTCATAAATATTGATTTTGTGATGTGAATTATTTGACGTATATGTAGACTTTTATTCCTCAGTTAGTCTCAAAGTGACTACCATTTCAAAAGTATCACCTTTGTGACAAAGATCTACAGTTTCTTAGATTAAAAGTAAACAAAAGTTATAAATACAGTGAACAATAATGATTTTAACTAACACTTTAACGAAAATTTAAAGTGTTATAAATCAAAAACCAATTAGTCTGTTAAATTTGACTATGATTTTATTAAGATAAGAATTGAATTAATGAAAAGAATATAATAAGTAAAAAATAGAAGATTAACAAAAACAAGTACAACGTAAAGAACATAGAACACAAAAATAGATAAGTTCAAATTATTTTTTTCTAGTTAAATAACACCGAAAAGAAATTGTGATTATAAAAAACTCTTCATATTATATATTTTCTATTCTAATTTATAAAAGATGAGCAAGGCATGTAAGTTTACAGTTACAATTCATTTGAAGTTACTTTAGTCTTTTTTGTAATAATTGACAAATGTAGATAGTTGAAGAAACTTGAAGTTAATGTGTTCCAACTAATGAAACGAGTTCAATTCATTTCTGAATTGTGTTGATAACTTGCATCGGCTTTCCAAAACTCTAAACTATCTATCGTCAAACATTATAATTGTTATAATATTTAGAATAAAATCTAGACACATAATATGATATGTTTCATTACTACTTAGAAGTAAAATACAATTCTTATTAATATATTTTGCAATAAATATGTAAATGTAAATACCAATAATCGATTCTAAAATAAGTATCCGAGTTGATGTAAATTTAACTTTAGCATTAAACAGTTTCTTTCTGTAAATAGTAACTGTTGATATTTTTCATTATGTACATGATAGATCGTTCTATAAAAATAAAATAATAAACCAAACGATATTCAGATGAAAATAAGCTTAAATGTATTTTGTTGAAGAAGAGAAAAGTTTGTGACGATACTGGTTGATTCTTTGAATGAGACGATTTTGTTGTTTTATCCATTCAGTCGAGTCCGACTCTTGGCGATCCGATGAGTCAGACTTCTCCACGTGTTTCTGTTATGTACCATTGTGTTGAGTTGAGTTAATGTTAAATGTGTGTCTTCTTTTATTGTGTCAATCCATCTTTTCTTTTGCCTTCCTCTGCGCCGTTTGCCACCGACCAGTAATGTTTTTGGTGCCTTCCGACCTGAGGGTCTCATCTTCCAACACCATATCTTGAAACGTCGTTGATTGTCTGTTCATTGAATTTTCTTGGTAAATATACTAAAGTGGTTTACCATTGCCTTCTTCAGCGCAGTCCGAGTATCTTCGTGGCGATCCACTATCGCTGCTGCCCGATAGTTTCTACGTACGTGCATTGGCCTTAAAGATATCTTTAAGTTTCTCTCTCATACCACGCAGAGGTTGCACGTTCCGACTTCATGAGAGGAATGAGACGATACATATCACCAACGAATACGAGTAGATTTAATCAATAAAAAATAGATCAGATATATAAAATCAGTCATTTTATTATTCTGGTTATTAATGTAGATAAGTTGAAAAATAATGAGTTTTATACATAAATCTGATACAAACCAACTAGCATTGAAAATATTGAAAATAACCCCAAAGAATGGTTTTAGAAGTTGCAACATTGAATAGTCTAGGTGTCCCAATAATTTGTTAGTAAATTAATCGATAAATATGTTTTCAATATATAACAAATGTTTGTATATAAAAATTGATAGAGAACATATAGTGATATTAGTTCATTTGTTTTATATATACAATAAGATAATTTTGTACGAAATCCATCAATTGACTTAAAAATATAGCCAGAAATAAAGAAAAAACATGATAATACAAATAATTCATAAGGATATCGACATATTCAAGGATGAGTCACGTTGCGAGGAGGTTGTACATCAACGTCTACCCACACTCTCAATTTTCTTTATTTTTAATCTAATTACGTATTGAGCAACAGTAAAAGTTTGTTTCTACGCATAATATAAACGTCGACGTAATAATATATGTATCCAACTATTTAAAAATATGACGGGAATCGTTTATCTAGTATGGACGAAAAAAATATGCATTTACCTTTTTCGTATTTCAAGGTAAAACAAAAGTGTATTGTGATCAAGGCATGTGGTTGCTAAACTGGTGAATGCATTGAAATATATATGCATTTAATGTATAATACGACAGAACTATTGTATCTGAAATTAAAGAAGCAATAAAACAATGCACATTTACCTTTTTCGTATTGGAAGGCAAAATAAATGAGTATCCTGATCAAAGCGTGGGCTTGCTGCTAAAATGGAGAATTAGATGACAAATATATCGATTACTGTATAATATGACTGAAGTCGTGTATTTAAGTTTGAGTAAAAAGTAAGAAAATTCACATTTCTTCTGTTTCATACTTAGAGGTAAGATATTAAAATATTCAAAGTAACCAAGAAGCTTTTTTTCTATAAATGTTTATGAAATTGAGCATATATCCAGATTCTTCGGAATATTATGAGATCCTTGTATTTAGTGTGGAAAAGAAAATAAGAAATTATTATTATTATTTATTTATTTTAAGTTGAAAAGCAAATGGAAATATTTCACTGATTAAATGTCGAATGTTTGATACACATTTATTTGGTTTATTAAAATTAATGAAAACAATTCTATATCCAAAAATATTTGATTAAAAACAACAAAAAAAAAATCAAGTTTGTTCTTTTTTTTTATTTTATTTTATTCTATGTTATTTTTTTAAACTAATAGAAATCACAATTAAATGATTAAAAACATTAAACAAATGCAAAAGAACAATATGAATCAATGAAAAAAATGATACCTATTCAAAAAATTCTTCAAGAAGAAAAGCAAAATATTGAAAAACAAATTGATATTACAACTGATCTGGACAACAAATAACATAACTTAAATTCAATTTTATTATTTTGAAAGTAAAATTTTATATTAAATTATTCATTTATTTTAGATTGATATTTTGTTTTATTAGATGCATTATTAGATTTAACGTATTATACAGAAGAATTTTTATATATCTTATTTGAAGTAATTGAATGAAATGGTTCAATAGAAGGGTGTATCATATCTATCCTACTCATTCACTCACCCTCACGATCTTATTGATTTTTATATAAAATCTCGTTATGAATATATTATTTTAGAAGAAAATAAACCAAATAATTTGATTATATTTGATTTATCTTCATTTAATTATGAGAGGAAAACTGAAGAGCAATATTCATTTATTCAAGGTCAAATTCAAAAATAAAATTTTCTTTGTCTTTGTAAATATTTTCAACTTATACCATCATTAATTAATTTATTTCAAACAAATCAATAACAACAAAAAGATAAAGATACATCTTGTAATGAACCAACTTTTCTTTCATCGATTTGACAACAATATGATGAACATTCAATTGAATGTTAAATGGATTTTATATTAAATACTCCACGAATACTTATTCTAATGAATTCATATTCAAATAAAAATATTTTAATTGATATGGGAAAATTACAAATGAATACAGATTCAAATGATAACAGAAATTCTTTATCTATTATACAACATCGACTTATATTTAATAGATTTTCGATGAGTCGTTTTATTTAAAATAATAAAAATGAATTCATTAATAAAATAATTTTGTTAGGATATTTATCATTTGTACTATCGATTAATCGTCCTTTAAATTCACAAAATGATTCCAGTGGAATAAATAATTATGCATTTTATTAATCAAATTTTTAATGAAAATATTTTTTTTTACCAAATTCCAAAAATTGATAATACTCAACAAGAACAAGAACAAATTGAAATTAAATATATAAAATCATCAAAATGTATTTCTCAAAAAATAAGATTTACAAGAAGATACAAGTATTTATGGAAAATTCGTTTTAATTTTCAAAGACAACAAATTGGTTAAGGGCTTTATTATTCTCAAATAGATCTTACCAACAATTATATAACTCAAGATGAAGACTCTAGCTTTCTTTATTTAATAATTTAATTAATTACAATGAATTTTAATTTATTATTAAATTCAACATTTATTATTATATGGTGTTTAAAAAAAATAATTTCAAGTTTTATTAACAAACATTTTAATGTTCAATAAAATACATCAATATTTAATATGAATCTTGAATTTGATAATTCTAATAAAATAAGGTAGAGATTTTTTATTTTAAAACATTTTCTTATTTTTTAATTAGTTAATGATCAACTAGAAAGTTTTTGTATTTGTATATGTCTAGACATTCAAAACAAATTATTAATGTATTTAATTATTCTATTTCTTTATTTTCCATTAGATTCATCTAGATATTCTATTTCATCTGACATAAAAATAAGAATTGAACTTATTATCAATCAGTTTCAAATTATTTTACTTCAAGATCAAAATAAAACTAGTTCTGATTATTTTGTATTTAATGTAAGTTAAATTATCTAGTAAAAATAATTTAAATAAGTATACGTATATTTATATACTTAATAGTTAGTGTTTTCAATACATATGGTTAATGTGAATGGTGAAACAAAAACTTCCTCTTCAACAAAAGATTGAAGTTTTTATGGAACTAATTTTCAAGATTTCAAACAATGAAAAATTTGCTATTCAGTAATTTATTTTATTTCTGTAAAGTTTTTTCTTTAATTAAGAGCATAGGTATTATTTTCATCACAAATAGATACCATTATTATGATCAGTTGTGATAATCAAAAACTTGATTTAAATATTGGAGATTTATCTAATAATATGCATTCAACTATTATGCAAACATTTATTAATTTTAATATCTCTATAAATAAAGAATAAGTTAAACATTTTAATTTAATTAGATATGCCATTTTTTTATTTTTTTTTAGCAAAATCCGCTAGAAGAAAAAGAAAAAAACAGTTCAAAAAACAAAATTTATTCCAAAACCATCCAAAAACTCAAGTTTTTTTTTATTTATAATCAAGGTACTTTAGTATATATTATTGATATTTAAGAATTATGTAGAAAAATATGAATTACTTGATGGAACAGATATATTGGAAATAACTACAACAGACTCAAAATCAGCTAAAACAAATGCAATTGAACAAGAAGAAAAAGAAAAGCAAATTTAAAAAAGACAAAATCTTTCTCAAGTTTGTTTTCTTATTTTTAAAGTATTTTATAGTTTGAGGGTGGGTGAAGTGGATGAGATAGACGTACTTTAGAGATAAATAAAACACCTACCAACTCCTTACCCACACCCACCATGAAAGATGGTCTACAAGCGAACCAAAACAGCCTAGAACAATATTGATGTGTTTTTAGTTGTTGAATCGAAATAGCTAAATATCTTCCACTTTGATGTCATGTTCCTAATATAATATCTTCCTCAAATTTTTCATTTTAGATAAAAGAAACTTAACATTTTACTTTAATTTCTGCATTGGGCAATTGAACCATCTTTAACAAGTTAAAATGACATCCTCCAACACCCTTCTAGAACCAATAGCTGATATAGGTATAGCATGTGAATTCGCAGGTGATATTCATCGTGCAAATGATCTATGGTATACATTAAAAGAAAGTCAAGATGTTGGTAGTGCAACAACAATTGATCGATTTGATCTTAAATCATTTACTGCTCATATGCTTAATATGGATAATAATGGACAACTTCATCAAAAACTTCTTCCTGCTGGTTATTTTATGTCAAATCAACAATAGAATATGTTTGAACCAATTTTTTTTGGTTTTGTCAGATGCTGAACCAGCCAATATTGATCCATATCATAGATCACTTATATTAAAATTTGTTGACTTACTTGATGGTGATGGATACAGTGTTGAAAAAATGTCAGGTACAAAAACATCAGTGCATACTGGATAATTTTCAACAGGTCATGTAATTGCAGCAGCTCGTATGAGACCTGGACATCGATCAAGATTTTATAGACCTAATAGTTTATTATATCATTTGAATTTCCATGATCCAAATGTCTCATTAGTGTTGCTTGTTCATCTTCTTGAGAAACTTTACATATGGCTGTGCAATGTCTCCGTACAAATGAAGCTGATATGGCTGTATGTGGTGGTGTTAATGGAATTTTTACACCAGAAAGTTTTCTACAACATTCATTTCTTGGTGCACAATCACCTGATGGAAGAAGTCGATCATTTAGTGTTGATGCTAATAGTTATGCTAAAGGTAAAGAATTCAGTTGATTAGTCTTTTTTTTTTATTTAGAAATACATTTCAATTTAAATATTGTGTCTAGATGATGGTCTTGATCTTTTATTATTAAAACAATTAAGTGATGCTGAACGTGGTGGCGATCCAATTGAAGCTAATTGTTTAGATCGATTCTTTAATCGATCAAATCTTGATCCACCATTATTATTAGGTTCACTTAAAAGTAATTTAGGACATACAGAAGGTGCAGCTGATGTTATATCACTTATTAAAGTTGCTATGTGTATGTATCATCGTGGTATTACAGCAAATATGCAATTTACTTCACTTAATCCAAAACTCGAAGCACAAAAATATAATCTACATATTCTTCAAAATTTTATACTATTTCCATCCGTTTCAAATAATGACAAAATAGCTATTGGTGTTAATTCATTCGAAACGGTTGGTTCAACGACACATTCTATTATTGAAGAATATCAACCAATAAATAAAACATCAATTCAAAATGGTCATATCGATGATGGAAATCATATTAAAAGTAAACAATATTTTATTTTTATTTTTTCAAGTAAGTTATTTTTTCTTTTTATTCATTAAATAATTTATTTCTTCTTATTCAGCAAAGAGTCATCAATCTCTTAACCATCAATTAATGATATACATGATGATGATCATCAAGCTTTTCTTCAACGTATATCTCAACAACTTCATCTTAAAAGAACTATTAGTTATACACATTTAGCAATCTTGATTTTTCTCAGTCATCAACAATTACAAGAACAAATTAATGCTTTTCTTACTAAAAAAGCATTACCAGATCTCACAATCATCACGTCCAACAAAATCATTAGCACAGAAAATATGTTTTGTTTTTAGTGGACAAAGTCCACCATGGTGGTCTATGGGTAGACAATCATATGAAAGTGAACCTTTATTTAATAAATGGATTCATTTAACTGATGCGGAAATGACAAAAATTAATAAGGGTGAATGGAGATTATTGGAAGAATTAATTGAAAAGAAAAATGAACAAGAATCTCGTATTAATGATACAAATATTGCTCAACCAACATTATTTGCTATACAAGTTGCATTAGCAGTTTTACTTGTTTCATGGAATATATATTCATCATTTATAATATCACATAGTGCTGGTGATCAAGCAGCTGCTTTTGTTGCTGGTCGATTAACTTAAGGAGAAACTGTTCGTATGTTAGCTGTTTGAATAAGTGAAGAAGAAGTAGAAAATAAACTTTTGAAAGGTATTGAACATTTGGCTTGTATTGCTGTTGTTAATAGTCCTCGTTCAGTAACAATAAGTGGTGATGAAAAAACAATTGATGAAATACAACACATTCTTTCCATATCTTATCCTAATGTATTTACAGCACGTCTTCGTATTGAAAATGCATTTCATTCATATCAAATGAATCGATTTGATATTGAAAAAGAAATGCTTTCATCATTGAAACATATTCGAGGATTTCCAATACAAGATCAAAAACAAATTTTTGATCCAATATGTGCAAAAGCAAAACTTTATTCAAGTGTTATTGGTGAACAAATGAATGATAATATACCAGTTGATGGTCAATATTGGTGGTCAAATGTGAGACAACCTGTTCGATTTTATGATGCTATAGTAGCAATTATAAAGGATGAAGCAGCAAATGTTTTTCTTGAAATTTCACCACATCCAGTTTTAGCAAAATCAATTCGTGAATGTTATGAATTAACAAATCAACAACAATCGTCATCACCACTTATTCTTCCAACATTAAAACGAAAAGAAAATAAACAAATAACATTACTTACTAGTTTAGCACAACTTACAATATCATCTCAAGTATGGCAACGATATTTTCACACTCGTCAAATTTTACTGTTGAAAAATCATGAAGAATATTTTGATAATTTTCCCTTATATAAATTTCATTTGAGTTCATGTTGGTATGAATCAAAAGATTCATCTATACAACGTTTAGCTAATCGTATACCTACTCATCCATTACTTCATATTCGTCAATTAAATGATCAAACAAGTGCAACATGGAAAAGTCTTATTAATATTAATTTAGCACAACATTCTTTTTTAAAAGATCATAAAATTCAAGATGCAATTCTTTTTCCAGCTGTTGTTTATCTTGAACTTGCAACAGCTGCTTGTCAACAATTACTTTCATCAAAAGAAGATGATCGAGAACAACAACCAACAATTATTTTTGAAGATATTAAATTTGTTAAAGTACTTATTTTGAATGAACATGAATTAGTTGAAGTATTTACACAAATAATTATGCCAATGCGTGAATGGTATATTATATTTTGTAATCAAGATAATTTTAATAAATATTCATTAAATGAATTTACTTTACATGTTCAAGGTAAAATTGATTCTAAACAACACAATCATTAACAATACCTGACAGATGGACAACACAAGATATAACAAGTGCTTATCAATATGGATCTAGTTTTCAAAAAATAAAGACATTAAATGGTACTTCAACTACAATTATATCTCAATTATGAAATGATAATAATAATTGTTCATCTTCTTATTTACTTCATCCATATCTAGTTATATTACCAGGTGTTGAAACAACATTTCTTCCTGTACGTATTCAAAAATTTATTTATTCAAATAAAACAAAAATAAAAATCAATCAATCAACAAACATTGAAGTACGTGGAAAGTATCATGATAATATATGTGGTATAGGCCAAGAAGAAATATATAGTCTTGATTTATGGATATTTCCAATGGATAATAAAATCGAAGAACCAATATTTACATTTGAAGGTGCTGTTATTCAACAAGTTCAAGGTGCACATTCTGGTCGATGGTCAATGGAACAAATAATTTATGATAAATTAAATCTGACAACTGATTTACCTAATACTGATCATAAAACATATTTAGATACAATTATAAAAGATTATTGTATGAAAAGAGTATGGACTGAATCACCAGTAATATAAGATATATCAGATTTACTTTCATCACCTAAAACTATTCTTAGTCATCAACTTAATTCTATTAGTAATCAAGATTTAATTGAATCAATACAAACATTTAATGAATTAGCTGCTTCTTATGCTGAAATGGCAATTAAAAATCTTGATTTAAATCAACAACATCATCCATTATTAAATGCATGTCATTTTCTTGCTTCAACTTTACAATCGAAATAAGTAGTAACATGGAATTCAACACAACTTCATCTTATTCAATTAATTGAACGTTTTTCTCGTTTAAAACCAGTTTTAATCATATTAAATAAATATGGTTTATATTTAAAAGATATTCTTAGTGGAGAAAAAAATGGATTAGATATATTTCTTGGTGATGATGAAATTAAACAAATTTTTCATTCGATTTGTGAATATTTACAATTACAATATGAACAACAACAAACTAAAGATAATTCATTTGAGAATTATCGACTACGTATATTTTGGTTAACTGATAATGATTGTTCAGATATTTTACCTATTCTTGATCTTTTTATTATTTGATTTACATTATGCAGATTCTGATTCAATACAATTTGCAAATGCTCAACAAACATTCAATATATATATATAATTAATCAAAGAAATTTATTTATTATTTATGATGAAACAATTGATTTATATGATAGTAAAACATTTGAAAAAATACCAATGGAATTATTTGATATTATATTTTCTTCTAATCACCTTCTAGAAAATCAAGATTTAACAAATTATTTAATTGATCTTCGTCGTTTACTTGTTCCAAATGGTCTTCTTTTATTACTTGAATTAGTTCATATTCCTCTTTATTTTGATCTTATTTTTGGTTTTTATTGATCAATAGTGGTCATCATCTGATGATGATAATAATCGTGCATTAAATACTATTCAACAATGGACAAAACTATCAAAATGAGAGTATATTAATAATTAGTCAAAAAACAATATCTCACGAAATGCTACAAAGACATGATGAAGGAATAAATTAAATATGGTTAATATTTATTAAAGATGATCAAAATAATAAAAAAAAATTTATATTCAAAATTCAACAGCAAATATTATTTGTTCTGCAATACCAGTTTTATTAACAACTTATAAATAAATATCAATTATATTCGTATGGCAAATTCATCAAATATCATTGAATGAAAATAATAATGATTTAGCATTTAAACAAAATGAAGAACTTTTATGTGGAATATTATCACGTATTCTTCAAACAATTCAAAAATTATCATATTTTTATCCATTTGTATATGTTCTTACAAATAATGCTCAATTTAATAATGATTCGAATCTTAATATAATTCCATCACCATTTATTGGTCTTGCACGAAGTTTAATAACTGAATATGAACGAAATCGATTAAAACCTATTGATCTTCAAACATCATTAAATAATGAATTAATATTTATTCATACTTTGATAGAATATATGAATAATTCAAGTTGTTCTTCGTCTTAATAATATAAATCAAAATCAAGTTCAACATTTAACATGGCATTATGAAATGTTACAAAAATCTCTTGATGACGATAATAATGAACAAGAAAAATCTAAATTCGAACAAATTTCTATTATACCTAAACGAGATGCTGATACAAAAACCATTTCGTATTTGTGTACCACAATCTCGTTTTCTTTCTGAATTAACATGGATTGAAAAAGATAGAGAAAAAGAATTATTACCATCAGGTATGGTAGAAGTTCGTGTTCATTGTGTTGGTATTAATTTTCGTAATGTACTCAAATCACGTGGTCTTTATCCATATACACGTACTTTTGCACAATCTGATGAAAATCAACCAAAACTTGATCGAGATACAGAACCAGGTTCAGATTTTGTTGGTACTATTATACGTGCATGTCCTACAACTAATTATCAGGTTGGTGATCATGCTGTAGGTAATACTAGTCTTGGTACATATCATTCTCATATTATGATTAATTCACAACTTATAATACGTATTCCATCTGGTTTTCCTCGTACTGATGAACAATTGTGTGGTTTACCATGTCCCCTTTTAACAGTTATATATTCTCTTAAATATCGTGTTCATTTACAATCTAATCAAACTGTTCTTATTCATGCTGCAACAGGTGCTGCAGGTCAAATGTGTATTCAATATTGTCAATATATTGGTGCTCGTGTTATTGCTACAGCTGAAACTGAAGAAAAACGACGTTTTCTTCGCGAATATTATGGTATTGAACATATATTTAATAGTCGAGATGTTTCTTTTGTTAATCAAATACGTCAAATTCTTCCACAAGATGTTGATATTATTATTAATTCATTATCAGGCGATTTACTGAAAGAATCAATTAAATTATTAGCATATCATGGTCATTTTGTTGAATGTGGTAAACGAGATATTTATCAATGTTTCAATTACGATCAGACATTAGTTTTCATGTCATTGATTTTATTTCACTTGCTGATCATGTATCACATTTACTCGTCTTATGTTTGAAGAAGCAATTGATTTATCTATTCAACGTAAATTACGTGCTGTTGAACCAACAGTAGCTTATGAACCATCTCAGGTAATAAAAGCACTATCAAGATGTAATAGTGGTCACGTTATGGGTAAAACAGCTTTTCGTATAACCTCATCTGATCAACCATTATATATTAATAAAAAAACAATCTACTAGTTTATTAAAAGGTAATTATATCTTGTTATTTTCTTTCAATTATTATTATTATTTTTTAATTAATAGTTGTAAGTGATAATAAAATGTTTTCATCAGAAGTTTATATTCAAGGAACAATTTTAATATTTGGTGGTTTTGGTTTAACAATGTCTCGATGGATGATTAAACAACGAGGTGTTAAACATATTGTTCTTATGAGTCGTCGAACATTAGTTGAACTTGAACAACCTTCAAATCCACAACATGATGATTGGTTAAGATTAAAACAAACAACAAACGAATATAATGGTGATGTTGTTCAAGTAGATGTATCAAATTTTCAACAAGTTTATAGTTTAATTGAAAAATTTAATAAAACTTCTTATCCTATTCGTGATATTATTCATAGTGCTGTTGCTGTAGAAGATCGCACTTTAAATAATTTAACACAAGAACATTTATCACTTGTTTTACCACCAAAAGTTCGTGGTGCATGGTATCTTCATCAAGCTACACAACTTCTTCATGCACCTATTCATTTTTTTATTATGTTTTCATCCATTCGAAATCATTTACTTGAAGTTGCATCTGCTGGTTATAATGCTGGAAATCAATTTCTTGATGCACTTGCTCATTATCGTTTTGAAAAACTTAATTTACCAGCACTGTCAATTAGTTTACCAGCTGTAAGTGGTGCTGGAATGTTTCATCGTCATAAAGAAATGCTCAGTACTTTGAAAGAGACACAAGGTTTTGAATTAATGCCAACAGTAACTGTATTCGAATTAATTGAATGTTTTCATCAAACTCAAAAGATTTGTCCATGTCCTGTTATTTTTGCTGTTAATTGGCAAACATTACATCGAAATTATCCATCATTAGCTACATCTTATCTAAGAAAAATAGTTGATCAACGTTATAAAGAGATGAAATTTGATCAAATATCATTGACATCATCAGAAAAAAGTAACTCAGCTGTGTCTAGTATGAATAAAAAAGAAGCTATTATTGAACGAATTCAGTCAGCTGTTGCACGATTATTAGGTGCAGCTAGTGTTGATCGTATAGTTATTGATCAGTCACTTGTTAGCCAAGGTATGGATTCATTAGCTGCTGTTTCATTATATAATTGATTAGGTCAAGAAACTGGTGTTTATATACCATTAGTTGATCTTCTTCAAGGACTTTCAATTGAAACAATTGGAACACTTGTTTATAATAAACTTAATGAAAAAGAACAAACAACATCATCATCAGCTACAAAAGAATATGATTCAGATTTTGATTTAATTAATGAAAATGAAGTTCAATTATAAATTACATCAACATATACTGGTTTAGAAAATATTATTTGTCTACATCGTTCGAATCAAAATAATACTTCAACTCTTTTTTGTATTACTCAAATATCAAATGATAATAATAATGAAGATTTATTTACATTATTTATCCAGAAATTATCTAATCAAAAAAATAAAATATCATAAAATGATATGTACGCTTTACAGATATTATCATCTTTTTCTTCATCCTCTATATCTACACATGCTTAAATCTTATTACACAAATGCGTCGTATTCAATCATATGGATCTTATCGAATGATAGATGTTAGAAGGAAACTATTGCTCATGAAATGTTAAAACAACTCAAAACACACTCGCTCATTATTAATATGCAATTACATATTTTAGATGCTCAAAATTAAAATATATTCACAATTATATTATTTATTCAAGTATTTATAATTTATTCACTTCTAAAATTCTTATTTCTTTTTCTTATTCATTATCCATGTAACAGTTTTAGCCAAAAAAGTTTCCTAAAAAGTACTGTTCATATTTTATTGAGAAGCGAAAAAAAGTACTTAAAACTGAATCTTATTTAGTAACTATTAGTATATTTTAAAGCGAAAAGTATTTTTTATTAATATTAAAAGTACAAAAAGCTATTAAAGAGCATTTTGATTAATACTAAAAAGTACTATATAACATATTTGTAGGAGTTTATTGAACAGTTTTATTTACTTGCAGTACTGCTATATAGTACTTTTATTATATATATATTTTGATGTATTAAATTAACATATTTTTTTTTATTATCTAATATAATATCATAGCTATACTCAATCAATTCTCTTGTTTCATTTTAGAGTATTATTAGAAGATTGGACTTTTGATAATAATACAATTCTCACATGATGTGATCATATTCTTATTTCATATTTTGAAACATTTATTTACTTTTTCTCATCATCTTCTTTTTAATTTCTAGATTCTATTAAGCTACTTATTTCATATTAAAGGATTGATTTCTTTATTATACAATGCTTTCACGAAAACGTATCATAGCAGCAACAGATGTACATAAAGAACCGGAATTTACAATTTCAGAACGAACAGAAGCTTTTGCTTCATTTGTTCAACAAAGAATTTGGCTTCATGACCAACTTTATTCTCATTCTTCCGACCTGTCTGTTTACAATATTTTGGTACCATTGATAGTCAAACAAGGTTAATTATCAATCGAACGTATTCGTTCAATTTTACTCACATTAATTGAACAACATAGTGTTCTTCATACTGCTGTTCGGTTTAATCCACAAAGTAATCAAATCGAACAATATATTCAAGCTGCTACCGATGAAATCTATTCATTTCAACATTCACGTGGTATTAATACATCAGAAGAGCTTGACCGATTACTTACCAAGGAATCGATAGGAAAATTTTTCGATTTTGAAAAAGGCAAAGTGTTAAGATGCCATATAGTGCAGCGACAAGATAATAATAATGCTGATGCTGATGGTTTATTATATGACAATGATATAATTGCTCTCAGTTTTCATCATATTGAATTTGACAATAGTTCACTTATGCCATTTATAAAAGCATTTAAACAAATAGATTTGGCTAATAAGCAACAATCAATATTATCAGTTCCACAATATATTGATTTTGCATTATAGGAACAAGCCTTGTTAGCTGATACAAATATAGATTCAAAAATGAGCAAAGCACGTCGTTATTGGTCAAATCTTGTGAATGGTTATGATTGGAATCGAATACAACATTTAGTACCTCATGAAAATAAAAATGATCAAATTCGTTCTGGTCGTGCTTATTCAACTGCATTTAGTTTTGATCAAAATATTGTTGATGCAATGATTTACTTTTGCTTCATCAAATAATCTAACAATGTTTTCAATATCTCTTGCTTGTTATTATGTATTTTTATATAAATTAATTAATATGGATGATGATGATTTATGTGTTGGAAGTGTTATAGCTAATCGAACAAAACAAGAAATGAAAGATATGATTGGCATGTTTATTAATCTTGTACTATATCGAATGAAAATGGAAGCAAATAATTCATTTGAATATCTGATACGAAAAATACAAGAATTAAGTAGTGATGTTATAGGACATTCTTATTTATCTTGTCAACATATTATTAATTCACAAGATTAACAAAATCATCAAGTATTACCTTCAACATTATTTCAATATGAATCTTTAGTATCATCAGTAACAGCAAAAAATAATCTTGAAGTTGGTGCTGTTGAAGAAAATTCTATTCCTATTATTTATTTTGATCGAGATCGATCACATGATAATGGTATTGCAGCATTTGATCTTACTTTTACAATATCACATGATTATCATGCATGAGCTACGAAGTGTTATCTTGATTGTTTAATTGATATATCTCAAACTCAAGCGAATGGTGATTTATTTGCAAATCGTTTTCAACATCTACTTAAACAACTTTTCTCTTCTTCTTCAATCATTCATGAATCAATCTATAAATCATCAATTGTTCCTCCAACTGAACAAGAATTTATTCATCAAATGAATAATATAGATATATCTACATCTTATTCATGACCAAATACTGTTCATGAATGTTTTATTCAACAAGCTCAATTATATTCACAAAAATTAGCACTTGAATATTGCTTAATAAATAATTTAATTGATAAAATTGAACCAAATGAAATCATATGTCAATGTGTTGAACAATCTTTTGAAATGATTATTGGTATGTTAGCAATCTTAATAAGTGGTGCAGTTTATTCTTCATTATCACCTTTGGATTCACCAGAACGACTTAAAACTCTTATTCATAGTTTTACTTAGCAAATAATTCTGATGACTTGTACATCGTGCAATCTTATTAAAACAGATTCATTTATTGTTTTCAACTATACTAGTAATAATAATGATCATATTATAAAACCAGTATGTTACGTGTGATAATATTGCTTATATTATTTTTAAAAGTGGAACAAGAGAGATATCTAAAGCAGTTATTATTTTACATTCTCATCTACTTTTATATTTTCAATCGTCTGTTGAAGTTGATGCATTGCGTACAACTGATAGAGCTATACAATTATCATCATGTACTTGGGATATTCATATTCATGAAGTAGTTGGTACTCCTCTTGTGGGTGGTACTGTTATACTTTTACGTTCAGAACAAGGAAATCGTAATATGGATTATTTATCTCAAATTATTGAAATTCATCAAGCAACATATGTTTGTATTGTTCCTACATTACAAGTTCTTTTGTTTGATATTGTAGAAGCACAAAAAGCATATTTTCGACTCAATACTCTTCGTTTAATATGGTCTGTAGGTGAGGAACATTATTATTAATCTTCTTTTATCAAATACTCATTTGTTTTTCATATGTATATGTTCTTGTAGGTGAACCAATCTCATGCCGTTTTATTGCTCGAATTCTATCTATGTTACCTATTGGATGTCAATATATAGATTTTAGTGGTGCCACAGAAGGTACAGTCATACAAATGTTTCATGTTGTAACAAAAGATGATGAACTATCAGAATCAGGTACAGTTCCATCAGGTCAACCCATGCCTTATTTTCGATGTCATATATTGGATCAATTTCTACAAATTATACCAATCGGATATATAGGTGAACTGTTTGTAAGTGGGCCTATTATGAATGGTTACTTAAACAGACCTGATCTTAATAGCAAAGCATTAGTTCAACTTCCAGATGAACCTGATAAAAGTTATAGAACAGGTGATTTAGCTCGATTAATACCTTCAACTGGTAAAATTCAATTATTGGGTCGTAATGATTTTCAAGTAAAAGTAAATGGACAACGAGTAGAATTAGAAGAAATTCAAGCAGTTATTTATCAATCTAATTCATCAATTTCTAACTGTGCTGTCGTTAAAGTAGTTGAACGTGGACGAGACCATTTAATTCCATATAAACAATTAAACAAAACATCTACATCAGTTCCATTTGATGAAAAATTAATTCGTATTAATTGTCCAGATCATTTGCCATTTAAGTCGAATGGAAAATTAGATAAAGCAGCACTTACTAAAGCTAATCCATCATCATTACTTTTACCACTAAATAATGATGAAACTTCTAATGATCATGAAAAGCAAATATTAATGACAAATCAACAACAACTTGTACATGATCTTTGGTGTGATGTATTACAATTCGATGTAAATTCAAAAATATCTGTTAATCGTTATATTTTTCTCATTGGGTGGGAATTCATTATCTATAATGCGTCTCTTTGCACAATATCAAATAAAATTCTCTCTTGATAGTAAATCTTCATCATTTAATATTGATTCTTTATTTCATCAACCAACTATTGCTGAACATACTCACATTCTTCAACAATGACTTAATCATACTTCTCAAACTCATCAACCAACTCAATTATGGTCAACTCTAAATATTTGTCAAAGTAATCTATAATTTTATTTTTCTCTCTCTATTGTTTATTTTAGCTGAAGCATCCTGTGGTCAACAACGTATTTTTGTTGATGAAACTATTCGTTTTTCAAATGAAACATCTGTTTATAATGTTCCTTTAGTTTATCGTATTGTATCTAATTCTAATATTCAATAGATTAAAATTGATCGATTACGTCAAGCTATTGATGCAATTATTGCTAAACATGCTATATTTCGAACATCATTAGATTGGAATATAAATACGAATGTTTTAGCTCAATATATTCATCAATTTAATTATAGAAATCAATATGAATTTGTAATTAGTTATGCTGAAAATGATGAAGAAACAACAAAAATAATTAATAAAGAAATTACAAGTGCAAAATTATTTGATCTTAATCGAGGCATTGTATTACGATGTCACATAATTAAATACAATTCTACGTGAAAAGATGAAGAAATATATTTAGAAAAAAATGATATTATTATTTTTAATCTTCATCATATTGCATTTGATGGTGCTTCTCGACGAATATTTTTTAGTGATCTTAAATATAATTTAGAAAATGATAGTACATTATTAAATAATGAAAATCAATTTCAATATATTGATTATTCAGTTTATGAAAAACAAATGGATATAATATCATCTTATCATTTTTGGCAATCACATCTCGATGGATTGAATTTAAAACGTCGTATCATGTTACCTTTTGATCGACATCGTTTATTAACTGATCAACATTCAGGTTTTGCTCATCTTATTGATATTCCATTTGATATTGATTTAATACATTCATTTCTTGATTATGCTTCTTCACAAGATATTACACCATTTCAATTAGGTCTTACCATATTTTATACATTTTTATATAAATTAAGTCAGAATCAAAATGATCTATGTATTTCATGCATTCATGCTAATAGATATAGAACAGAATTACAAAATCTAATTGGTATGTTTGTTGCAACATTACCACATCGAATTCAGATCCATCCTGCTTATTCATTCAATCATCTTATCAAACAAGTTCAAAATGAATTTTATTCAATTTTTGAACATACACATTATCCTCTTCTACAAATACTTCAAGATTTAGATTACAAACATTCATCTGCTGCTTTTCTCAATATATTATTTGATTTCATTACTTATTCATCTGATACTGATCTTCTATCTATAAATCAAGCACAATTTCAACCAGTACCATTAAAACAAAAGCAAAATGTTATTAAATTTGATATGAAACTATTATTTTTTCATGATCCAACAGTTAAAAATCAAACAATATCATGTTCTCTAATCTGTTCAGAAGATGTCTATGATATCGAAACAGTAGAAGAACTATCAAAACAATTTCAACATCTTCTTTCACAATTGTTTGTTAAACATTCATCTTCAACAACAAAAACAACATCTTTTGATTTAGTTAATTAACCAATATCGAAATTATCTTTTTGTCTAGAAAATGAACTGAAAGAAATACAACAAACAATCTTTCATCGATTACCTGCAGTTAACAATGAAGGTATGAATATTTGTATAGGTTTGTATCTTATATAGTCTTTGTTCTGTTAAGGACCAGCTTCTTATGCACAATCTCGTATTTGGTTTGATGAACGAATTCGATTCGATCGAGATAAATCACAAGTTGCAATTAATAATATGCCTTTTCTCTGTCGTCTTCATTCACAACATACATTATCAACTACACAACTTCATCATGCACTTCAACTCATTCTTACAAAACATCAATCACTTCGAACATCAATTATTTTCGATAATGAAACAAATAAACTTATACAACGAATTATTGATACGAATGATCATACTAGAAAATTATTTACATTTATTGAAAGTACTTTCGAAACAGATGAACAACTTCATACTATTATGTATGATGAGAAATACAATTCTCAACTTTTTCATCTTGATCAAGGTCTTGTCTTTCGATGTCACATTCTCTACTATAAACAAATTTCTTCAAATAATCTTCTTTGTGATAAAGATAGAATTATTTTCAATTTTCATCATGTTTTATTTGATTTTCCATCAATGAAAATATTCCTTCATGATCTCAATCAAGCATATGCAACAAATCAACTACCTGTCAATCATAATACTGATCTACGTTATCTTGATTGTATATATTTCTCATATTTATCTTTGTTAATAGATCGATCTTATCTCTTTTTTTTTCGTTTTATTTAGATGCTCTTATTGAACAACAAATGCCAATGACTAGTGCAAATATGTTTTGGCTTCATACTCTTCTTGATTATAATCTTGATCGATCTCATTTGATTTTGATCAAGATCTTTCATATGATTTTGTTAACTATGCATTAACAAACAATATAGAACCTCAACATCTAGCACTTGCCGCTTATTATATGTTCTTATTTAAGTTAACTAATGGAGAAAGAGATATATGTATTGGAATGAATACACATACTCGATATAAAGATGAACTCAAATCAATCATTGGATTATATGAAAATCTTATTCCATTACGATGTCAATTAGATCGTGATGGTTCATTTCATGAACTAGTTGAATATGTTCAAGAAATGGCAACAAATTGTATGAAGTATTCATATTTTCCTCTTCAACATATTCTTGCACAACATTCTGATTGTTCAAAGCCTACATTTCTTGATGTGTCTTTTGATTTTGTGACTATTGAGAAGAAAATAATGATTGGTGATATTGAACTTTGTAGTATTCCATTATCAGTTACAATCAATGAAGATCAAGATGTGAGCAAGTTTGATTTCATTCTTACTATTCAATATTATCTCAACATAAATCAATTTTCATGTATAATTAATGCATCACTCGATTTATTCAATCACGTGACAATAAATAAGATTTCACAACAATTTCATTGAATATTATATGATTTGTTTACATCTCTTAATCATATAATATTACCAAATGAAAGATTACTTATACAATCAATGAATAATACACAAGTATTGTTTCCTTCTGCCACTTGTATACATCATGAATTTATTTATCAAGTAATACAACATCCACAAAAAATAGCTGTTGAACTTGATGAACAATCATTAACATATACAGAACTCTTATATTATGTTCAACAACTTTCTCTCGTCTTATTAAATAAATACAATGTGAAATCGGGTGATATTATTTGTCAATGTGTAGAGCGAAGTTTATCTATGGTAAATATATTTAGAAAATATGGTTTGCAATAAAATGTGTATAATATATCCTTTATTTCTCTTTAGGTCATTGGCATTTTATCAATTATTATGGCTGGTGGTGCCTATTGTCCTTTATCATCACAAGATCCTTCACAACGTCTACAAATTCTTGTGAAAGAAACTCAAAGTCATTTAGTTCTTGTTCATTCGTCTACACGCATTCTTTTTGGAATCGACATTGTAACTTTAAATATTGATACAATTATAAATAATGAAGAAAATTCTACTAGTATTCATCTGAATCAAATGTCAGATGTACCAATAACATCAGAAAGTATTCTCTTTGTAATTTTCACTAGGGGATCAACTGGTATTCCGAAAGCGGTTTGTATAATTTTTTTTTGACTATTTGTATTTTTTAATATATTCATGTTTCATTAGGTCCAACTACGTCATCGAAATTTCACTCAATTTTTACGCTCATTTGTTTATGTTGATATATTAACAAAAACCGATACAATAATACAAATGGCTCGATGTTCTTTTGATAATCATCTATTAAGTCTTGTTGATACATTAATAACTGGAGCTACACGAAAAAATGCTTCGACCAGAAGGTCATATGGATTTTGGTTATCTTGCAGGAGTATTGAATGAAAAACAGATTACAACTACGCAAGCTGTTCCATCTTTATGGAATAGTCTATTTAATTTTCTCAATACTATTAATCGAAAATCATCAGTACAATGATTACGAACTGTATGTAGAGGTGGTTAGTAATTGTTATTTTAGAATTATTATGTTAGATTATTATTATATTCTTTTTAGATTATTCTAGCATAGGTGAAGTTCTCAACAATAAACTAGTTAATCTATTAAAAAGTCAGGTGAGAAGTGAATATCGACTTCAAAATCATTATGGTCCAGTTGAACTTACTATTAATTGTACCAACTATCTAATTGATCCAAACAAATATCAAACAAATATTCCAATAGATCAATCTCTTCCCAATTATCAATTTTTAATATTAGACATGTTTCTTACAAACTGTTGATATTGGACAGGAAGGAGAATTAGTTATTGGAGGTGTTGGTATTTTTGCTGGATATATTGGTCGTGATGATTTAACAGCTAAAGTAATGATTAATGTTAATGAGCAAATATTTTATAAAACAGGTGATCTTGTTCGAATGGATAACAATGGATTGATTCATTATGTTGGTCGAAGAGATTTTCAAGTGAAATTACGTGGACAACGTATTGAATTACAAGAAATTGTATAATGTTTACTTATGTTAGCATCCATTACTACATGTGTTGTTATCAAATGGGATGAAAATCATCTTATTGCTTATGTTCAAAGTGATAACATTAATGTTGAACAATTACGTCATCATTGTCAATCTAATATACCATCACATATGATTCCATCAATATTTATTATACTTGAAAAACTACCTTTGAGTCTAAATGAAAAAGTAGATCGAAAATGTCTTCCACTACCAGATTTATCATTATTGATTCTTTCATCAACAACAACAGCATTAGAAAACAAATCTAATCTTCCACAAAATCAATTACAGAAACAGATACATGATATTTGGTGTGAAATTCTTCGATGTATTGGACAACAAATTGCAACAACTGCAAATTTCTTTAGTATTGGTGGTCATTCACTTTTAT